TGACATAGGCGTGCTATTCAGTTGTCTGAATGCAGTATGCCTTCATTCAGCAATTTGACGTTATGATCGCTTTCAAGACTGAATCATGAGCCGCAATGCTTCTGGACGGACAGGCTATGCAGGGTAAAGTTGGATTTATGTCAAGGTTTAGTAATTTTCAACTTCAGTAATTTGTATAATCATGCAGCTGTTTTCCTGGCCTTATTCCCAATTAAGTACATCCTGCATATTTTCACTTCCTATCAGAACTTCGATGAATTTACTTATAAATGGAAGGTTGATAGTTATTTTCGACTGCTAGTTCGCGCGGAGAAACAAATACTAAAAGCAGTTTTGTATGAAGAAACAGTCAGGGGAACACTGGTGTCTCTCCATCAAACTTCTCGGTTCATTTCTCTCCCAAAGTACCTTGGTTACCCTTCTATTTTTGTATCCTTCTACTTTTATAACGACAACGTTGACTATGTTGTAATTTACTCGGTGTCACCTAGAAGTGGCATCCAAGATGTGTTTTTCCTCTTATTTGGCACTCGTTAACTCGTGATACACACTCCTGGTACAAGAGGTATAGTATGATGTCATGACTTTTCACAGGTGGACTCCTGCAAAATTCTAGCATCGTAAACTCCATAATTAGCACTTTGACTGACTTAATTATTGGTTATGAACAGGTTTATTGCTGTGGGCTTTACGCATATAGTTCGAAATACAGATCGTTAGTCACTTGATGACCGAACTTTTTCGATCAGGTCTGTATTTTGGCTACTAGACTAAGTGATATCATAAAACTGCTCTGCAGTATGCTTTTGCTGTTAGATGTTAGGAACTGATAGGTGAGAATTATTAAAGTGAAGTATGTTTCATCTTGGTTGAAGTTTATCTGCAAATGTATCTCAGCCATGGCTCCTTTCCTTTGAGTTCCTAACCTATGTCCTTAGTTAGTGGAGAACTGACAGATACTATCACGACATATCTGGACTATTGCTGATCCCGCCTACATGGATGTGTTTAGTAGACGCAATAATCACAGTAAGCTATTATGTGGCATCTGCTACTAGTTTGTTTAAATATTCAGAGTGTTCGCCACATAAGCATCACTCACAAATCAATTTGAGATTACATAGGCATCAGTAGCGTTGACCGAGAAGTGATTTCGAAACTACTTCAACACTTCGGAGTACCATAAACTTTTATCAACCTCATTCAACAGCTATATGCAGTATGGTGCTACATGCCAGGTAATTCACAATACAAAGCTCAGTGATGACGCCTTTGAAGTGAAAACAGGAGTAAGATAAGGTTGCCGCCTACTATCACCGATCATCTTCCTCATTCTGGTCGACTGAATCATACTACAAACTGTGACGAGTGAAAAGAGGGGCATACGCTGTTTGACCGATGGAAAGATCCTAGAAGATTTGGATTTCACCACCGTGATGATTTATGTCTAATATCTTGTGGCACAAACTCGAAGATATACAGGCGAAAACTGACAAGTTGACAGAAAAGGCAGAGCAGTGAAAACGGGATTTCAAGTGAATGTAGAGAAGACGGAGATGATGATGATGATGATGATGATGATGATGATGATGATGATGATGATGATGATGATGATGATGATGATGATGATGATGATGATGATGATGATGATGATGATGATGATGATGATGATGATGATGATGATGATGATGATGATGATGATGATGATGAAACCCAACCAACGCCACCACCACCACCACCACCACCACCAACAAGCTACAATCACCATCAACGGGAGAAACTTGAAGGAAGTTGTCTCTTCACCTACCCACCTACCTCGGCAGCATCGTTCCAACTACAGGCGGCACAGATGTGGTCGTCAAAGCATGGATCGGAAAGACAGCAAGACAGGCCTTCATTAACCTGAAACCAGTGTGGAGATCTACTCCACTCCACTCCACTCAGCATAAAGTGTGAACAACATCCGGATTTTCAAAACTAATCTCAGTCAATTAACTCAGTGCTTCTATGTGATGGTTCAGAAACTTGGCGCAGACACACATCAACATCTGCCGCCTACGCTCACTCGATACTGACACTGAAGATCAGATGGATTGCCAGTATAACAGGAATGAGTAGCAAGGAACTCTGGTTGGCTTGCTTGCTTGCTTGCTGGCTTGCTGGCTGACTGACTGACTGACTGACTGACTGACTGACTGACTGACTGACTGACTGACTCACTGACTGACTGACTCACTGACTGACTGACTCACTGACTGACTGACTCACTGACTGACTGACTGACTGACTGACTGACTGACTGGCTGGCTGGCTGGCTGGCTGGCTGGCTGGCTGGCTGGCTGGCTGGCTGGCTGGCTGGCTGGCTGGCTGGCTGGCTGGCTGGCTGGCTGGCTGGCTGGCTGGCTGGCTGGCTGGCTGGCTGGCTGGCTGGCTGGCTGGCTGGCTGGCTGGCTGGCTGGCTGGCTGGCTGGCTGGCTGGCTGGCTGGCTGGCTGGCTGGCTGGCTGGCTGGCTGGCTGGCTGGCTGGCTGGCTGGCTGGCTGGCTGGCTGGCTGGCTGGCTGGCTGGCTGGCTGGCTGGCTGGCTGGCTGGCTGGCTGGCTGGCAACGAACTAACCAAGAACCTATCGCCTAACAAATATCCGGAAGAAAGTGGGGATGGGTTGGATGGGGCATATACTGAGAAGACTATTCGTGGACATTATGTGCCAGACCAGGTCCTCGAGTGAAAGCCGAAGGGGAAACGACGAGTTGGGCATCTGAGGTGAGGGTGACATGGAGGAGATCATGTGAGGAAGAAATGAGAGCTTGTGGACAGTCGTGAAGCCAGGTTTTGAAGACTGCAGAGAACAGAGTGGAATGGAGACGTGCCACTGAAGCCCTTTGTTCCGCTAGGTACGCAAGTGACAAGTAATAACAGTAATATAAATAGTAATAACAGTAATAATAAATGCACATCTTTGTAGTCAAGGGGTAGTGACAATTATTGTGCCTGTTTCCTGAATACCTTTTTCGTCAGGTGGTTATGTGTGCTTAGATCACTTTGATAATGGTGGTAAAATCTTTAGATCAGTTTGATTGGTTCCTAACTACTTAAGTTGTTCTGCAGTAGTATATTTCGCTAGTTCATGAAAGTTTTATTCCAGAAATAATACCTTGGGATCTCGGCTGAGATACAGAAGTCCCGTTTGGAATTTGGCAACTTGCATCATCTGTGGCGCCTACTGGCTAGATGTTCGACTATCTAGCAAAGTACTAGTTTACTGTCCTGCATTTCCTTTCATACTGTTATATGGCTGGTAGGCAAGGCCATTAAAAGTGGAAGACATCAAGCGTTTACAAGGTTTGTTCACAGATGTCTGCTTAGCTTGCTCACGTGTGGTGAAATCAGTGTGTGATCAGTGTTGAGGTAAGGTGAAGGGCACCAGTCAACATAAGCAAGTCGATTGACGAGGTTTTGAACTTCAGTTGACTGCGATGGCTTGGACATGTGTTGCACACGCCGAGGGAAGTTGAATTCGGTTGGAATAGGGTTCAGGGTGGTCAGAGCTGGACGTGACACCAGTGCATGAAGTCTCTGACTGTTGGTCTGAGAAACCCACAGCTTCTTCAGCGAAATATTTTTGATTTCCAAATATGCTGCAATTAAAACTTATTTTTGTAGAGATAAAACTAGACACGATGCCCGAACCGTCCTAGGAATACCACAGAAACATTGAAGAATAACTCCATTGGATTTTATTCCCTATTGGTCTTGTTTTGTAATTTATTCTGCCTTGTCAAGCTTGTTTAGGGTCTAAGTAATATGCCTGTCAAACTTTTGAATGAGATTAGACTCATTTGGTTGATGTACATTCTTGACCATGTATGCAAATCACTAGCTTACTTGATAACAATGAAAGCAATATGTTAGGAACAATTGTTAGCACTCAAGGTCACCAAGACCAGCTACTGAGCCACTTGTTAAGAAGCTCTAATACCTCACTTCATTATTCTGAAGTCTGTGTTGATGATGTTTCATATGATGTGATAATGAAACCCTTATTAATTAAACCACACAACTTGGAGGAGGCAGCACCACCAAAACTATCCTCCTGAGCTATAAATATTCTCCACTATTTCAAAAAGTTACAGTGGAGCTATTGTTCCATCGGATTTACAGGTGTACCTTGGTGACAAGTGGAAACTAGCATGAAATCTAGGTCACCCATGATTTCGCGTCGACTACCTCCTGGTTCCCTATACAAATGTATTCATCCCTCCTGTCTTCTACTTATTATTGATAAAAATTTGAGATATCCTTCTTTAGAGTGATTTGGTCAAATGAAATCAGCGTGTTATAATTAAAAATGAAATGAAGTGACAGGTTATTTGTATTCACTATGATCTGTTTTCTATTCGTTTGTTCTTTTCTGATACTTAGTCTTATCTCCTGATTTATTTGTAGGATGGAATGAGTAAAATGTCTATTGGTCAGATGAAGATTACATGATACCATTAACCTACCTGAAATTAGCCAATACAATTATACCATTTATCAGGCAGGCAGATATCTCCTTTAGGTATGTTGTAAATCTGATTGGTTATTAGTATAACATAATTTTCACCTGGCTGAGTTTACCTATTTTCCTACCTGTCTGGTCATCAAAATGAAATATATTGCCTATCTATGCTCAAATAGGTATGTTATTATTGGTGAGATGGATATACACGCTTTTAGATGTTGTTGTATGCATGCATGTATACTTATATATATATATATATATATATATATATATGATACAGAATACAAATTGATAAATGCGTATCTTCTCAAATGTTGGAGACTATGTTTTGGCTCTGCATAGAACTTACCTTTCGGAGATACACCTGTAGTATGCACATATCGGCTTGGAATTCTGAAATTTGATGCCGAAAACTTATATTAACTTACTCTAGGTTAGTTTTATCATTCCATTCAGTTTATTTGAATATGACCAAAAAATATATGTAACTGTCAATCATGCAGCTATATACAACTATTATTGAACATATCTTCCCTATTTTTGTCATTGAATTCTTATTACTTGTTAAATGTAATGTTCCCTATTATAATCAGCCACCTGTGAAGCTGGTTGTTCCTAACATTCATCCTTCGTATCGACAAAATGATCCTACATCTCAAGTTCTATCCTACGGTCCGTCGAATCCAGTGAATCCGACTGGTCAGTCATCACAAGGTCAAGACCCAGGTATTCCCCCCGGTCTTTCACTTGGTGATCCTGGATTTGTCCCACCTACAGACAGAAGTCGTTTACACGATAAAAATTATGTCCCAGCAGCACATGGTATGATGAATATCACAGAGGCTATAAAACAGCCAAGTAAAGATTCCACACTGCAAGAAGAGATACGATCGAAATCTTCAATGAGAGATCGTATAGTCAATTTAATCATGTCTAAATATCGTAGTTATGAACGTCCACCAGACGGTGGGAATGCTACAATAGTTACTGTAAACATGAAGGTGTTAGCCATCTTTTCAATCGATGTACGTACAATGGATTATTACATTGACTTGTTATTAAGACAAGTATGGCGTGATCGTCGACTTTCATGGCATGAAATACCTGAGTTTCGTGATTTCAATGAACCGTTAGTATCGCCTAAATTAAAAGAGCAATTATGGTTACCTGATTTATTCTTTAGAAATGGTAAAGATGGTTATCTTCACAAGTTGACTCTACCAAATTATTTATTACGGGTTCATCCTAATGGTAATGTGTTATACAGTCAAAGATAACAATGAGATTTTCATGTCAAATGCATCTACAAACATTTCCTATGACAGTCAACGTTGTCATATCAATATTGGTAGTTATGGTTATACATTGAATGAATTGAAATTTGTTTGGAATGATGAAAAGCCGGTGGAGTTAGCGGATAAACTTCAATTGTCTGAATTTGAAACACCTGAAAAATTCGATGCACATGATTGTTCTTCTGGTTATTCAACATCAACAGGTCAGTATACATGTTTGAATGCAACATTTGAATTACAACGACAACTTGGTAGTTATTTAGCTACGACATACGTACCAAATGTATTGATTATTATGGTGTCATGGTTAAGTTTTTGGGTTAATGTTGACTCAGCTCCAGCTCGCGTTCCCTTAGGCTTACTTAGCCTACTAGGTATACTTACTCAAGCGATTAGTGTTTCATCTACACTGCCACGTGTATCATATATCAAAGCAATTGACATATGGATGATATTCTCCATTATATTTGTTATTGGTGTACTGGTGGAATATGCTGTTGCATTGACTCTTTTACGACGTAAACAATCAGAGACATGGCATGAAGATGTTAAAGATATTGTCAGAGAAGAATTAGCTCGTTGGTGTGCTATCTGTCAACAGCAACAATTGGTACAATTACAAAATTCTCAAGGTTTGACAAGAGTCAAATGGAATTTCGTGAAGAATTAGAACATCTATTAACTAGTCAGTTGATTGAAGAAAGTAAAGATAAGTCAAGACCAAGAAGACCACCAGGTTTAGTTGAGTCTGAAATTGATACTTATAGTCGGTTCTTATTTCCAGCTTGTTTTGTTTTGTATAATTGTTTCTACTGGTGTTATTTCTTAGTTATCGTGAATCAAGTATAAAAGGCGTATTCATTAATCAAGATCATTTCCCACTTGTCTCCATCGACCAGGAATCTCTTTGTTCTTTCTCTCAGCATATAAAAAAACATCTTTTGTTTTTTTTGTGTTATTCGATGATTTTAGTCAAGTATAGGCTGTTTCATAAATCCCGTTGAGAGGAACCGCAGAATCACTATCAATCTTCAAATATGTTAATGTTAACACTCAACTGAAAGGTGTGTATTTTTTTCTCTCTGGAAAGATAGACGTTATGTTAACACTTCTGTGCAATAGAATCAGTTCTTTCTCAACGCCTAAAATTTTTTACTTGTAGCAACAATAACCACTGACATTAGCTGATGTGCACTATTGATGCATTTTATATCTATTAAATAGTTTCCACTTACTTCTTTCATTTGTGAACCAGTCTCCTTTTGTCTTTTTATAACCTGTCATTTATAAAAAAAACACTTTCATTACAGTCCATTCAGTCAATGATTCTTATCACAAAATACAGAAAATTACTAACATAATTATTATTATTATCTTATTTGTATACACAAATACTTTGCTGGACTAGATGCATGGACAACTTTTGACCATGAATTATAAAAGTGTATAATTATAGTTATTTCCGTAAAAGAGAGTTTTCCTAATGATAATCTATTTTGCTGTGTTGTCTGGGTGGGATCTATAGTCTTGCAGCCTAGGTGTCTTGTGATTAAGTGTAAGTGCTTGAAGTTCGGATAGCTTAGTCAGTAGGTGACCTTAGTGATTCCACTATTAGATAAAGTGGACTGAAATATTTTACAGTTCATTATTCCTCTCCAAATTGAAGAGATTTTGTCCATGTGTGGCAGCAAGTAGGAGAATTAAGTTCATGGTCTACTTCGGATTGCCTGTAGTCGTGTCACCTAAACATCTACGCTATACATCGTCAGTTATGTTTGGAGAGTATTTGTTGGACAAGAACAATAAATAATTTAGTAACAAGGCAAGTTGAATTTTCTCCAACACAGCACCCATTAAACCTCCTGTATTAAATTCATGGATAAAGTTCAGTTTTGTAACTGTATACAGAAAGATTCACCTCTTCTTTTCATTACTGTCATCCTGGTCCTTTTAACTAAGTATTTATCCTATTTACCGCATGGCATCATATGAATACAAGAATTTTATGTACAGTTGGTTACATTTGTCTGTAATATGGAAGTCTTACAGCTGAGGTTGTGAACTTGCTGATGTTATATCATGTTAATGTTTCTGTAGTGTTCAGGCGCTTCTACTAGCATCTGTTATAGAGTGATTAGCAGTTTTGATTACTGAACAGATCGCATAATCAGACTACACTCTCTTGATAGCTTAGTTCTTATCATTTTAATTGACTAGCAAGAAATAAGGCTAAAATCAACTGACTTCTGAGGGGGGAACTATACAGTATAGTCAAAATTTAGCGGAACATTTGAACTGTTAATTGTACTTGAATGTTAAAACAGTAGAACAATTCACTTTGGTACCCTATCAGTTGTCCTGTTTCGAAAAGCAAAGTGGGTTTCCTCTTTCCTTGACTCTACTGGATAGTGTTAAACCAGTTTCAAGTCAAACTTGAGTCTAGTTTCTGTGTGAATCATGTCCAAAAAAAACAAAAAACACTATACTCCTCAGTTTAAACAGTCGGAAAGTTGAAACTTCCTTTTCAAACACACCTTTATTGTCCAGAACTATTTATGTAGCAAGTATTTGGATACTTTCATAGTTAACCTGAAGGCTGAATTCTGTGTATATTAAGAATCCCCTACCACAAGAATGAATTTTCCTTTTGTGGAGTGGTCATTATTAACCTACTTGACTGGCTTCAAGATAAAGCAAGGAGTATTACGAAGCGTATTTTTTGGTAAATAAAACTATCAAAGCGTAAATATTGTTAAGTCTCTACCTACTTCTAAACTCCATTATGCCTACTCATAAAGATTACATTCTGATTCTATTTGAATTGGCCTACTAGATGCATTACACATTGAAAAAACAATATTCTACACACGGTTCCGTCTACGACAAAATTTATTGTCGACGATAATGCAGAGGAGTTTATCGATGGTTTTCCAAATGATGCCAGTCCATGATGAATACTGCCTTAAAATGAAAATCCCCACTAACCTAGAGATTAAATAAAATGTGTCCACAACTTCCAGACATTGCCTACATAGTTCTGATTTGGTTGCCACCTTTGTGATATACGTATCCGGAACACATGCTGAAATGTATTCAGTCAGCTGGCTTATCATTCAAATAATAAACACAACCACATCTGACTCACAATGTTCCTCTCAACTCCATTCCATCGATGCAACCAATTTCTTCTAGGAGATATAGTTACCTGTCGTGCCTTTTAACTGATTCTGATTGTAGTTAGGAACAGTGATAAGGTGTTCTTCAGTCATAACAACCTGGCTGTGACACAATCTTCATCTACTTTGGCTTGGTTGAGTAGTACACAACATCCCTTTATAACATCTCACTGTTATTAACACATAAGTAGGACTTGGGCACAGTGGAAGAGTGCAGTTCTATTCTACTTGATCTATTAAATGCATCACTCAATGGAGCAGTATCATTTACTGGATTACGTTTCGGACACAGTTTATTGTCCTCAGTCATATCAAGATAACTCCACAACTTTGAAGCATGGTTTGCACAGTTCTAATTCTCTCTGATTCTTTGTGATATGGATACTAGGATTTTACGTATATCCGGAACAGGTGTTGATTCGATGACCAGAGATTCATTTATGGACTTGTCTCTCCACCCGACTGACTTATTTTTAAGGATTTTCACTCTTTCTCGTCCTATTATTTGTTTGTGTAGAAGCAGGCATAGTTATGGATGAGCGTTGTTCCAGGTACCTTATCTTACTAGGTTTCACCTATTTCAGTTTAGCTAGGCGGTTAGTTACCTTTCTGTTCTAATCAATAAACCCCTTAGTAACCGCAAGAATAATAATAATAGTTTCAATACTATGAAAGGGTAATTCAAAACTTCTACAGTATTACCATCCAAAGAAGGCTGCTCAAAGACATTACATACGATTCTCAATTAGGCTGGGATTAGAGTACCATTTAAACCTACAATTTTACCTCAAAATAAACTTTGTACATTAAAAGATCCTTCGTATAAGGCCTATTTTATTTGTGTAATTCCCGTAAGGTATTCCAGAACAAATAAAAAAATACTTTGTACTATTCCTTAACGTTTCGATCTTGCTAGGGAAATCCCTTCCAAAAGCATCACGTTCAAACTTATTTAAAATATCCTATTAACCTAATTAGACAGAATAATTCAGTTTAACAAATCCCTTGGAACGATTGTGAGGTCAAATAGATGGGTTAAAGTAGTCTATCGGAGTCAATTAAGCCATTCGAGAACAAAAACTAAGCTAAATCGAAATAGGTGAAACCTAGTAAGATAAGGTACCTGGAACAACGCTCATCCATAACTATGCCTGCTTCTACACAAACAAATAATAGGACGAGAAAGAGTGAAAATCCTTAAAAATAAGTCAGTCGGGTGGAGAGACAAGTCCATAAATGAATCTCTGGTCATCGAATCAACACCTGTTCCGGATATACGTAAAATCCTAGTATCCATATCACAAAGAATCAGAGAGAATTAGAACTGTGCAAACCATGCTTCAAAGTTGTGGAGTTATCTTGATATGACTGAGGACAATAAACTGTGTCCGAAACGTAATCCAGTAAATGATACTGCTCCATTGAGTGATGCATTTAATAGATCAAGTAGAATAGAACTGCACTCTTCCACTGTGCCCAAGTCCTACTTATGTGTTAATAACAGTGAGATGTTATAAAGGGATGTTGTGTACTACTCAACCAAGCCAAAGTAGATGAAGATTGTGTCACAGCCAGGTTGTTATGACTGAAGAACACCTTATCACTGTTCCTAACTACAATCAGAATCAGTTAAAAGGCACGACAGGTAACTATATCTCCTAGAAGAAATTGGTTGCATCGATGGAATGGAGTTGAGAGGAACATTGTGAGTCAGATGTGGTTGTGTTTATTATTTGAATGATAAGTCAGCTGACTTACATTTGTAAATAACTCATAGAAGACACTATCGGAAGTAAATATACTTTTGATTGGTTCATTGACAGGGTTTCGTTTTGCTGAGATAATTGAAAATCTGTGGGAGAAGGTGAAACTAATCACTGACATCTCAGGTACACTAATAAGGATTGCCTGTCTACTATACAAGTTTATAAGCAGATTATTTATTATAATTTCGCACTGATAATATTTTGCCAGCTGCTTTCGTAGCCACTTTGGATTCACAAACATTGATAAGCGCAGATGGCAGACAACCATCATCATCCACAGAGAAACATATCATTGATAAGAGTCACAGAATTGATATTAAAACAGCCTTTACAAATTTGTACAGAAACTGTCAGGGGCGTATACTTAAGTTTGTTGAGGCGCTAGCCATAAATAAATTTAACCCCCCACTGTGTGTGCAGAAACAGTTTGTCCTTACATTAAGCCTACCTTGGTAATGCTTATTTTATCGTATTACCAAGATTGTCTTCAAGTCTTATCTTTTATTCCTCTCATTATCTTTCTTATTATTGAATTCCTTTGTGTCATATGTGTCCTTCCCCCACTTCCAGTTTTCATATATAATACCTTAACAAGTAAATGTATGATCAGATTGTTAGAAATGTATAGCGCTAATACATCACATTTTACAGATAATCTACGTCTTCTAATTACATTATCCAAATTCATAAGAGGGACTAATTGTTTCAAACTACTCTTACAGTTATAT